TTCTCGAGAAAGGGAAGCGCTGGCTTTCGTTTTGCAGCTTCTCAGGTTGTTGATTGGAAGTTTGGTGTGGTTGTAGGACGATTAGGAGCTGTGGAGTAGACAGCCATGAAGCTTTCTTTCCGTACCATGGATGGGACATTGCTGGATGCCAACTTTGAAGCATCCGACTTTGTCTATGATGTCGCGCACCAGCTGGCGACTCAGAAATCCCAGCAGGTCTCGGTCCGTCTTACGAGTCAAGGAACACTGCTACCACCGGGATGTCGTTTGGAGGAGTGCGGCTTGAAGGAGGAGGACCTCATTGATGTGGTCTTCGTTGCATGGATGCCACCCGCCAAGGTGGCCAACAGTCTTCATGAAGTGCTTCCCCGGCGCATGCCCGATGACTTGGATGTCGGTGGCGTCACTGTGCTGGACGCCTCTGGGATCTTTGTGAGATCTGCATCGCGACGAGAGGAGATTGCGCAAGAGCTGACGTCCAAGATGCGGCCTTCTTTGATGGTGCTAGATGTCAGGCAGTGTGCATTCAGCCCTCTAAGCCTATTAGCAATCTTTCAGTGTTTGCCAGAGGCTTTGGAAGAGCTCTGGGCTAGTCGGAACCATTTTGATGCTGAAGTCCTGGGCTGTTTGAAGCAGAAATCCTTGCGACTCAAAGTCCTTGATATCGGTTACAATGAATGCAATGACTTGCGGCAGCTACCAGAGCTACTAACCGAGCAGATGGAGCAGCTGATTTTGGGTGATCTTGAAAAGTTAAAAGCTCCAACTTTCGAGGCAGCTTTGGCCAAGTGTCCTCGGCTGAAGTCTTTAGAGATCCATTTCAACAACAGGCGGGAGCTCGGGTGAAAGCAGATGGTTTTCCTGGGTTTGGTCGAAGTTGATGCCTTCAAATGCTTGAAAAGCCGACTGAACGGAATCATGTCAGATTTTCTTGCAGCTGGTGATGAAGCTGGGTGTTCTTTGTTTTCAGTGAGTTGTGGCACCGAAGATCTGTGTGTGTGTGTTTTAAGCACGTTCGCTTGTCAGGTTAGGCAAAAGTTATTTGGCCATTGCCCAATGTTCCGAGCTACGCAAGCTCCTTGCTCAATACGTGCACTTCAGCGAGGAGGCTTTGCAGCAGATCTTGGAAAGCTGCCAACAGCTGGAGCATGTGGTGCTCAAAGGGATCAACGATCTCAGCACGGTGCAGCGGCTGAAGAAGCTCAATCTAAAAGTGTTGCAAGCTAGCCTCACTCCGAACCATCAGATCTTAGCAGAGATTTCTACCGTGCAGTCAGACACCTTGATGATCGGAATTGACTTCCTTGAGGCTCTTGAGGAACACAAACTCGAGGATTTGAGCTCCACTGTGGAGGCTTTGAAGATGTCACCAGCCACTTGTATCGCATGGTCCGCTGAGGCTGTGAACATTGCGGTCCTTCAAGCCATTGGTCCTCGTCTTTGCGAGGTGTCTGGAGCGTGCAACAACACTTCTGACTCGGTCCTTTCTGATTTAGCCCAGATTCCCGCCAGCTGCGCAAACCTCATCTCGCTATCAGTGAATTACTATGAGCAGATTGATCCGAAGGACCTGGTGAAAGTTGCAGCTGCTTGTCCCATGTTGAGAGACCTTCATCTCAATGCTGATGATTGCGATTTTCAACGTGCTTTCATCGATGAGGGGGTTTTAGCTCTGGGTCAGCACTGTCACATGCTGCAGCATTTGGATATGTATGATCGGGTCATGGCTGATCTGGCGATCACCCTGATGAAGGCTTGCGAGGGCTGGCCTCTCTTGCGTTACTTGTGCCTGGCCAACTGCACTCGTGGCGACTGGGAGAGTGTCTCGAAAATCCACGAGCTACCGGCGGTGCTGGCGGGCAACTGTGGAAAGCTGGAGACCGTGGTCATTTATGATGACAAGATGAATCGCTTGTTTGACACGGAGTTTGAATCCCGATTTGCCTTGTATGGCCCGAGCCTCTTGTGATTCTGAAGCTCCCTGAAACGTGACCACTGGGCGGATTGAACGTCCGGATGAGACAGACATGAGACGCGCATTGCAATTGCTTTGAAAGAGGACAAGACAGATTTCTCTGAGTGTTCCAATGGTTTTCCCATGTTCTTCCTACCAGAAGCCATGTCTTCTACCTTTTCCTACACCTGCCGTTTTGGCGTGCCAGGCTCAGAGGAGAGCTCGATGCGACGGCTGTCACAAGCTTAGTGTCCATGCCGTGTCTTTTTTCGGCCGGAAGATTCAGCCTGTTGGAACCCGATTCGTTTGTTTTACGAATCGGACAAGCACGGTGTGTTCAGGTTGGCAGATCCGGATTGGTCCCTAAGAATCCGAACCCTGCTCCCGGACCCGGTTCCCAAAGCCCATGTGTTGGTTCGGGCCCGGATTCTTAAGGATTCACCAAAAAAAGTTCACAAAACCAGGTATTTTCCAGTCCTCGATTCGGTTCACCCAGTCAACTGGATTCGGTTCACCCAGTTTTGCCACTGTGTGGTTGGACGACTCGATGCGACGACTTCGACGATATTGGCCCGCTCCAGCAATTCATGAGCAAATGATGATAAACAGCGATCCATTTACAGTAACAGATCTAATAGAATCAGCCAGCATACATGCATTGTGTGTGTGTGTTGTTTGATCATTCGGACTCCAGTCGTATTTTTCGTATCGAGGGTTGGGATGATTGTAGGGATGTGACTATTAATGTTGGTTGATGAAATAGATTGGATACAATATAACATACATCGGATACCAGATCGACCCCATCTATTCCGTCCCAAGTTAGGACATCATATACATGGAGTTGTAGGGGGGATTTAGCTTGCACGACTTGGGGTCAGCTTGAGGCATATCGCAGCCGTTCGCTCCCCAAGTCGCCCCCCTCTTTAGGTCGGGTGTGGACGAGTCGCAAGGCACGGCGATGCGGGTCGGGGCACACACATAGGGCGCCATGGCGGTGCCCGGTGAAATGAATGCTGGACACTAGCTTTGGATATGCTAATGTAGACTCTTGATTAGCAATACCCCGCTCTAACAATTAGTTAACAAGTTAGTTAACATTAAAAACCTTGTATATAATCTGTTTTTTTTCTTCAAGGGTGGTTCATAGACCCCCGCGTGAAGATGTATTTGTCTACTATCTAATAACCACCCTTTGAGTGGTGCCTGTGTGTGATCGATATATTTGTTTATCCCCTTTGGCAATGGTGATCAGACGTGAAAAATGCCGGTGGAACAACTCCCAAAACATGAATTTGTTGGTGACAACTTTGTTCTTCAACAGACAGTAGCCAATTTACCAAGATGCGATCCATAGTGCGATCATGTGCAATCCATATAATTAATATGTCTTTAATTTGTTTTTATAGAATATGAAATCAAACTGATACTTTTTGTAGGTTTTCGTATGTGTTCGTCGTTTCTTCTTCCCCTCAATGGGATAAACCTATACTAGTACCCAAACTTTGAGCAGTGCTAGCTACCTCTTCCTCCAAGCCGACGCGCGCGTCTCGGCAGACAACACCAGTGACGACAGCCAGACTCTCAGGGATCGCTGGGGTGGAGATGGAGCGATGGAACAGGCAAAAATTCGAAGCCACAAGAGGATATTTAGCCCTAAACCCTAAACCCTATCAGCCTTTCGAAGCCTTCCCATCCTTGGACTTCCTTTCGATTCCTTCCGCTGGACCGTCGTTTGGAACCGTCACGTCACCGCGACGAACGACCGAACGACCGAGGCGAAAACGACAGCAACGACAGCAGCTATGAGTGGTGGTTCATGACGCGAGCACCAAGCTCGGACACTGTGAGTCACTGTGCTGGAAAACCCAATAAGATGAGAGAAAACGACAGAAAGACGTGTCATTCCCGCTGCCTGTAGCATCCTGTAGCTTCAACAAAGAGGCTGTCCCGTCTTCGTCATTCGGGAGCAATTGTTGAACATATCAAACGTCGCGTTGAACCATCAAGTTATGGCACATGGGTGTTAGCCATGTGCCATATAGCATGACGTGTAGCTGCAGCTGCGCATGATGGTTTTTTGAGGCGAAAAAGGCTCCACCCACTCCGTGGCAGATGTCTTAGTTTGCAGAGAAACCACGCAAAGGAGATGAGGACAGTTTTATTGGAGAGTGAAACAATCATGACTGGTCTCCTACAAAGGCACTCAATGCTGGAAGACCCACAAAACGGCTCGCTTTGGTTCTAATGCTGTGGCCGGCATTAGCTATCTTGCTAGCAGACTAGCAGATCCGTTTCATTCCGTTTCTGTGTTCTTATGTTTTTTGTTGTGTGTGTGTCTTCTGACTGGTTTGGTGAATGCAGGATGCACCTTCCAATTCAGGAAGCATTACAGGATTTGACCTCTAGCAGTTTCCAAGAACAAGCTGCCTTTTGTCAGCTCACACTTTGCCTGCCGTATGCGCCCTTGAGCAGTCAATCAGCAAAATCGGAGACGAAAAAAACATCAGGACTTGGCTGATTTCGGCCTTGCTCAGGTTTGACTTGGACCTGGAGAAAGAGTGTCCTTCAGGCGCACCTGCAAACAACGTGGATGCGGTTTTTTTTGTTCGAGATGGCTAAGACATGCGAAGCATCCAGACTGATGAGCTGGAAAGCTGCTTTCTTTCCCCTCGGAACACGAGCGGGCCGCTTGAACCGCACGCTCGGAATTGTACTTGAGACTAATCCTTCCAAAAAGAGCTTTCAGACTAGAGACTGGCCATGTTTATATAGTTGAGGCTAGGTCCAACAACTAAATATAGAAATTAACGGACTGACTTACACCAGAATATCGACTCGTTCCAATACACAGCTGCCTTTGCCATGGTTGAGGCCCTCCTTTGAGGAGCGCCGAGGAGGTCAGGAGTCGAGTCCGGTCAACGCGTCGACTTGTCGGTTCTTTCCAATTTGGGCGATTGGTTTTGTATGGGTTATTGTTCGGGTTTTGTTTCCTTTTTTTGGGAGTATAAGATGTATAAGTATATTGTGGGATGTTTTTTTTTCTTTTCACAGCGGTGACCCGTTACGACATTGTGGAGGGGACCACATCGCGGAGTCGGCGTTGTGGTTGTAAGAGGTGCACAAAAAAAGGACACTCAGAGTGGACACTCTGAGTGTCTTGGAGCTCATGAGTGTCCTTGAGCGTCCTTGAGCTGTTTGGCCGTCAGTGTCCTTGAGATCTTGAGTGTCCTTGAGTGGCTGGTCCACGGTTTGCCCGCGAGTGTCCTTGAGTGTGCAGACTTAAGATGAAGAAGAGCTTTTGAGAAGAGGCAGATGTATGCAAATGAAGAGTTTATACGAATGGGAAGGCCTAAGACTCTAAGATGAAGTAAACAACAAGGTTAAGAAGAAGGCAGTGAAGAAGCAATTGTTTCCTCATTCTAAGCACGGATGAAGAAGAAGGGTTAATGAGAAGAGCAAGGCTTTTGTAAGAGAAGGAATCCTCAAGAAGAAGCAAAAGAACAACATAGAAAGGAACAAAAACACTCAAGGACACTTGAGGACGGACACACACACACACACACACTTAGCCACAGGGTTTGCAGTTTCCATAATCCACAGTGAAATGAATGCTGTAACGGAAAGGCGGCTGGGTCCAGTGAGTTGAAGGTGTTTCAACAACAGAGTTTACGCGTGACTGCGGAAGGCTGTGGTGACTCAGCTGCAAAATCCGGCTGGGGGGAGGTTTTTGGGGATATCATGAGAACAACCATGGCAGCAAACCAAGCTGAGATTGGAGTGTTGTCATCAAGGCAGTTACGCTGGGATGATCAGTCCCAGTATCACCAGGAAAACGAGAGTGCCCTCGTTGGTGGCAGACTCTCGTTCCTGCTGCCACCCCCTGCGATCAAAACTCTTGGAAACAGAGTGTGGCACACACACACACACACACGAGCAAACCGTGGATCAGGCACTCACTCAAGGACACTCTAGGACCTAGGACATTCTTGAGTGTTCATCAGTGTCCTTGCCCTTGCGTGTCCTTTCAAATTGCTCCCGGATTGCACGTCCTTTAGAAGCCTTTTTTTTCACAACGTGTGGCAGAACATTCGTCAAAAAAGGTTTGATGTTTGATCCCAGAACCTGCCTGGTTATCGGCACGTGAAACACGTGTTTCAGAACGATGCCATGGCATAGCGAAAGGCTACAGTAGCCACATCGGACCTGCAACAACTTCCCTTTCAGTCAGTGCTTGCGGTCAGTGTTCCTTGGAACCCTTTCGATCCAGTCAGTGCTTGTGGTTTACTCAAATAGGTCCGTTTCCAGACACACAACCATTTCAACCGGGCAATCAAGCGGCCCCGACCTGTCACCGGTCCCCCGCACTGCCTGTCACCGGCCCGCCCAGGCTCGCCGGTGCCCTGAAGCCATTCTGACGCTCATGGAAAGGCGGCCCGTGGGAGGTTCCCAACCTGGACTGGACCTGGACCGTCAGATCCAAGAGGTGGACCAGACGGTCGAAGGCATACCAGACGCTGAACTGGTGTTGGTGTTGGTACGTCTCAGAAAGATTCATATCACTGAGTTGCTTCTTGATGTGAAACTACGTCGATGGAGCAGTTCATTTCGGGGATCCCAGCGACAGACAGGACGATTCTGACTGGATTTTGTGGACAAATGGAATGATGCCTCAAAAGATTGCAAAACATGTTCGAAGCAGATTTGATGTCCCACATGTTTTTTCTGTCCTTTCTTTTCTGATGAATCTTTGTATTCCGACAGCGACATGGACAGCGAGATGCGAACTGCAGCAGGTTTTTGGGTGAATCACTTCGTGATGGAATTCTGGACGAGTATCGAGGCGGGAGCGAGGTTTGAGACCCTCCCAACGGGACTCCCAACCAAAAAGGGACACAAACCCAGCAAAGTCCAATGGTCAGTTCCTTGGAGGAAGCCAGGTGTCAGTTTTGGGATGTTTGCAGATTCAAAAGGATCAGGTGGTCGGTGGTCTTTCAAGGTTTTTCTCTGCGCGCATGGATGTTCACAATACCAGCACCCTCCAACAGGTCGTTGGTTGAGGGTTGGGAAGGGCCTTAAGAGGTCTCAATTGGTGACCTGCCGGAGGGTCCTGGTAGATTGTTTACAAGTGTTTGTCAGAATACAATTCTTTGCGAAGAGTATATGGAAGCCTTTTCAGCAGGGGACTGGCAATGCAACCGACCAATGAAGAGTGAGGTCTGACCTTGAAGAGAGCCAGGGCCAAATTCCACTGAAGTCTAGACATAAATCAATTGGTGTCAGAATATAGACATTCAGTATATAGCTGATTCAACGCACCCTTGTCATCACTGTTGGGACATGTGCGGTTCTGCATGTACAGAACTCCTCCTGGGATCGGAGGAGCATTGCATTGAAGACCAAAATGGTCTCAAATGGAGTTTGGATCGGTTCGGATCATGACAAATCAACTGGTGAGCTGAGCCAAGGCTGGTGTTTTGAGAATGCGACCATGGAAAATGCCAGTGCAAGCCTGTCACTGAGATCTTTGCTGTTCTTCCTGCCAATGCAGACCCTTTCGAAGAAATCCAGCACTACAGACTGAAAGACCCTGTCTATGAGTTGTCATGACGCCAAAAGGCACTGAACTGACCAACATGACCAGAAAAAAGTAATTAGGAACACAAAAACAATACGTTGGTCCGTTGTCCAAGGAGATCTTCCAGATTTGCTTGGCGAAGAAGGGCGGCTCATGGATCAACTTGATAAGCTTAGGTGCCCGGTCTGAAGCCGGTGGGGGAGATCAGTTTCCCAATGAAAAAGATCAGGCTGTTAAGGTCAAAGTCACGTACCCAATCAAGTCAGCCCTTGAAGAAAAAGCAAATACCACAACATCAACAACAACGCATCTAGTTTAACTCTGAAACCACCCCAAAACGGGCTCCTTCACCTTCATCGTTGCATGCTCCGCCAGTAAGAATGCCCTCAAGGTTGAATCGACAGAGACGACCGTGTCGATTGGATGGTGAAATGTTCCCATGATTTCATCGTAGGTTCTCCATGTGTCGTCAAACATGAAGAAACAAGGACACGTGTTTTAAAGATTGGATAGTTTTGTTTTCCATGCCACACGCTGAAGTTTACATGTTCACTGTTTGTGATGTATGGTCATAGATTGTGTTTGTTTGGATGCATATATTTTGTCATATATATATATATATGCAACAGTTCATTATGCACAAGCCATATCTCATCATATTGCCAGAGGATTTGGGTCTCAATAGCCTCAAACGGTGTCCTGTGGAATCATCAGCTAGCGTGTTCTCGATCACCATCACTTACCCCTGCTTTCGTCGAATCGATCCCGTCTCATCAACTACCATCATCACTGATCATCACTCATCACTTGGTGGACCTCATGTCACCTCTTGTGCCATGTCACTGTCACTTGATTTTATGCCATGGCCGCTTTCGCCGCTGCGCGGGTCCCCGCAGGCGAGTCGAGCTCCATCCGGGCTCCGCTGTCCACGTGGATGCAGTGGCCCTGCTCGACGACGACGACGACCAGCTCGCCACCTGTCAAGTGCCGCAGGCACCGACCGAGACGGTCGAAGCCGGACGGTCCGGACGGTGGGAGGGAGTCGGGGTGGCGCAGAGGATCTCTCACCAGCTACGGTGCGGCAGTTCGTTGGATGTGGCAAGTTCAAGAAGACAGTCAATATAGACGCATGATTTCGGTGATGTAGATATTATACAGGTTCAAACACATGTTGCTTGCTTGCTATACCTTTTTGCGGCCCTTTGCTGGCATGTGACTGCCTTGCCCAGTCTTGTTTGGTTTTCCTGTCAAAAATATTCAAGCCCAATGAAGTTTCTGGTTTGAATAGGCATCAATAGATTTTAGCCTGAACATCGTATTCTGAGGAGAGGAATCTGTTGGCCACTGTGCAACAATGCACATGTTCGCATATGTTGAGGTGCCCTGCATCGCATAGCATAGATCGAAAAAAAGAACGCCACGAACTGCGCATAACTGCGCCAGATCCAAGACTTTTTCGCGGCCTTTGAGAGAAGTCCACTGAACTACAGCCAGATCATTGAGGAGGAGGAAGGGACAGAAGGGCGGGCAGCAGATGGCAGAAGGCTGAAAGAGGTTCCAATGGCCAAAGAATATATGACCAAGTTGCAAGAAGAAGCAAAAATTGCCCATGGCAGCCTGTTCTTCTTTTGAAGCACCGGGTTTTGAGTTCTTTTAGTTTACGAGCTGATCAGTTTCACAATGTTTCACCAAGTGCTGCACGGTTGACCATTGACCATACCATACCATACCTGTAGAGCTTGTAAGCAGACCCCAAGACCATCTCACTAGTGGGGATAATCCTCTTGTTTAACTCATCAAAACTTACTGTTTCTCATTGCAATGGTTTCAATTTAGCACACCTTGGTCACGATGCACAAGAACTTTTGCAAGCTAACTTCCCCGCCCCTCTATAGGAAGTTTCTTGGAACCCAACATCCGCCCACCCCCTCTGCCCTGCCATGCTGTACACAACTGCTCAGACCGACGCGGCAGGTGCGCAAGACCTGGGCGGAGTCCATGGCCTTCGCATGGAGCCTTTGCAGCCAATCCCTTTGCGACAGGCAAAGTTCGACGCCGAAAGGAGGGGAAGGGAGGGGCAGGAAGGCGCCCAAGAGAGGAATTACAAAGAAGAAGCTTTTTCCAGTCGTTTTCGGGAGGGACAGCGGCTTTAACTGTATGGCCAAGCCCAGAGTAGCTCTTCAGAGGTGATTCTGTGTTTGGAGTAGCTCACTCGAGGCTGATTCGCATGGAGGACCTGACTTGCTGAGTGTTTGGGCACTGTAGACCCTCAACATCCCTCAGCCATGTTGCCAGCTCTGTGGTGAAAGCTTGTATGAAGCTTTGATTTGGGCATTTGGGACTTCCACTGTGTGGTTGCTCAAACAAGTTAATAAGCCCTACCTCAAGAAGCTAACCATGTTACCCACTGTTTCTTCCTGTTTGGATTTCTGGTTATTCTATGTGTGTCTTTCCCGAGCTCTCCTTCTCTTATCTTGCACATCAGCCTCGAGTCACGCCGCAAGACGCCCGTCACGCCGCTAGCTCGCCGCTAGCGAGCCGCCATCCGCTCCCAGCGCCCTCCGTTAGGGTGAACTTCTTCCGTTTGCTGGCGGTCTCCGAAGCTGCTTTCCTCCGCCCGAACGCCGAGCCCGGCGACGTTGGCGAGTACTGTCTACGGTGTCCGTCCGAACGTGACCAGAGGAGACGAACGGAATCCCGGAGGCTGTCAGGCTTTCAAAAGGCGACGCCGGACAGACATGAGGAGGTTTCGCATGGTTTCACTGAAGTCCTTTGGAGCCCAAGTCAGACGAAAACTCGAGTCGGCCACACCAGGTTGGTACCCACGCGTCGGCCATGGAAAGCCAGTTTTCCCGCCAGGCGCGGTGTGTCTGGGTCGCTACCGTTTTTCGGCTCAAAGACCTGAAGTTCCGGGGGTGTCCAGTTGATAACAGGCACTGGACCCGACGTTTAGGCACCATCTCATGTCTCAGTGTTGAACACATCACCGTACCTCAGAGGGCGGCAGTGGATCCTTCGGGTTCCGATGATCACTATGGTTTGAGATGTCGGCCTGCAACCTAGCTTTAAGCATCATCATCCAATGTTTACTGGCAATAGGATATATGCCCAACTGACAAACATGGCGAGTTCTTGCTCCCTTTCATGCCATGTGCATCTATTTGGTTTGTGTGCAACAATTAGTTTGGAGCAACCTAGCAGGCGGGCTTCCATGCGCTTTCATTCCAGAGCTTTCTGTTTTAATATGTTTTAGTTGACTTGGTGTGCTGCTGCTTATTTGACAATCTCGCTGTGTTATGCTCACCCAGACATAGCCTGCAAAAACTATGCAACATGTCTTGTGACGAAAAGGTCAGCGCACCCAGAGTACTCAGAAAACAATATGCATATCTGCGGTCCGATTACTTTAGTACGTATCAACACAGTCACATATAGTTTTTGCTTGAGATCATGTGCCCAGGTCGGGGACTTGGACATCAGATACGCTAGGGTAAGGAATAGCTCCCTTGGTTATAGATGGATCAGGTAGGCGGGGAGAAAGACAGAATTCAACCAGTGTGGTGAGAGCGCTGTCCTTTTGCGCTTTCCGGAACTCCAGCTCCAGTAACTCGTTTGCAATTGACTTCATTTATTGTAATAAAATCTTATAACAAATATATACATGTGGGCTTTCGCACTTGTGATCGACAACGCGTGTTCTGGCAGACCCACTCGTCATGCCTTGGCAAACATGAAGGGTTCGTCACGCTGGGCGTCACGCCCGGACCGAGCCAGGAGAGGATCAACTGCTCTCCAACGTGCATGTGGAGTCAAGCTGACCTGGCTTTGGGGGTTCGCCGGTGCCATGGAGCGGAAAAAAGGGTATGGTGACTCTGGTGAGAAGACGCGTTTGTCAATTCGTAGATGAAAGAGCACCGCAGCAAAGAGTTTCATTTTTTCACTCAGGGTCCGACAACCCTAATCTTAATTAATCGTAATTCAGATGCCCTCGTGTGGCAGTACACTTGTGCTCAAGCATGGTGTTTTGTTGGATGCTCGAGCATCCGGGTGAAGAGTGCGGAGTCAAGTCTGAGTGCACACTCCAAAATTTCACGCCCTGAGCCCCCAACGGGATGCTTGTGAGACTCCAAGCAGTTTCACCCTTCATGTGACACGTTGCCAGGTTAGGCTTGGCACAGCGCATGTCCTGGCGTCCGCGCTTCTTGCATTGGCACAATCGCATCTCGGCGGGCGGGCTGTCTCCGAAGCGTGGCCAAGCATGGTCAGACTGGCATACCACTCGGCTTACGCATAAAGTGGAGAAGCTAAGAAGCCTTTTAACATGGATTCTCCACTCAAGAAGACGGAAAACAAGACTATCCGGTTTATTTTCCAGGAAACTGATGGGGTCAGCCAGAAATACTGGGTGGTGCAGAGAGGTTCCAGCTGGAAAACAGGGGTTCACGCTTAAAGTTCACTGGCATTCTACTACGGTCGCTCGTGTGCAACCAGTTTGACTAGTATAGCTTGGAACTCTTTGTGTTTCTGGTCGTATGTAAGACATCTGGCAAGCTGAGCTGGAATTTGTCACAACAGTTATATAACACAATGTACTTGTAGTTTGTGATGCACAGTTCATGGCATTCTGCTGCTTGGCACTGCTCAGTGACTCAGTATGCTTTGATGTACATTTGTGCATGTACGGGCTAACATATTGCTGGACCGCCTTCTTGAAACAAGGGTGTACGTACAACGGTGTATCGTGTATAATATATATATATTATGTGTGTATATATATACCCATCAAAACATGTACATCATGATGCATCATGATGCATGCCTCAAAAATTGGATAGGTACATACATCTTTCTTCAGGAGTCACAAACTGGTAAGGGTTCGACAACACCACAGAGAAGAATGAACATGGAATTGAACTTCCATCTTACCGCTGCAGAAGTTGTTTTTGCCACTCCTGTCACTTGCCTCGCTTGCTTGAGGCATCGCCATTTTCCCCGCCCCAACGGTGTCTTTGGCATGGCCAGCAGGCGCGAAATCGCACGCATTCCAAAAAGACAGCCAAGCTACGTGGCTGATGTTTGGTTTGATTCATCTCCATGGTTTTGGTCAGCAAAACGTTGCAGACTCGGGCCACTCAGCAGCTCTGTTTAACGTTTGGTAGACTATGGTAGACTAATTGTTTGGTCCCTCACCATGACAATGATCATGTTTACCCAGCATTGACAACATGACATGTTGTGGTAGCGCTGTTGATGGACAAAAGGGGCATTGCTGGTTGGGCCATGTTGGGCCCACTCACATGATCACATGAGTCATAAGACATATTGCCGCTATTCATGCCTTCAACAATCCCATGAGTCATATTGTGCTCCTTCAACAAACTCACAACTCTCATACCAGGACCCTCCAAGGGGTGTCCAATGGACTACTCCACACTACCTATAGGCTTCCATTGGGCACCCCTTAGAGGGTGCTGGTAGTATATACATATCAATATCTATATGTCGCCGTGGACTCGCCGTCGACTTCGCCGGTCACCACCGCAAGACGTCGGGAGCTCAGGCGCAGCGGGACGACGCGGGCTCCATGCACAGGGGCGTCACTTGCATCCCTCTTTGGAGTGTCCCGGCCGTTGAAAAGCTTAGTAGGGCGAGAGCGAGAGAGAGAGAGAGGGGGAGGGCAGGGCAGTGCAGGGCAGGGCAGAGCTAGCTGGGCCCCACGAGGCAGATGCTTCCATGGCCCAAGCCTTACCTATCCTAGAAGTTGAAAATAGTTGAAAGACTATCTGTGCGTTATATAGTGAAGTAAAGGAAGTTCCCTTTCAGGTCCCATATAGTTTAGACCATTCTGTTTAGAGTTATACATCAGACCCACTGGCCTTGTCAGTGCCACCATGCCGGGATCCAGAGTAGACCTCTGATTCCCCCAGCAGAGGTGTTTTTTGAGAATCGATGCGATGAGGACGTGAACCTTCAATTTCATGACCCTGAGAGTTTAAATGACTCATTTAAATTCGTTTTACCCAGAATGATAGACCAGTGCAACTGCCAGATCGCCCAATGGCCACTCCCCGAATCTCCCACGGGGCCCAATTGAACGAAGAGACCCTATATCCGTTCTGTTGCAAAGATGGCGCGTTGCAAACTCTTGGGATAAGGTCCCTGATCCGTTTCCAGACTCGGTGATATGCCGAATCCTGCAACATCCATGAACATTTATTTTCAGTGACTGTGATAAGTGTAGGTCATTCATGGGTGAATTCAGTGCTCCACTAACCAATCCTAAAAATTCATATGCCTTTGAGCGACTGCCCTTTGTCCTGTTGTGTGTCGGGTCTGGTGGTGTTTGTTGGTTTTCTTCATGTCCCACTCTCCCAATCTATAAAGGTTTATCCTGGAGTGTACAAACTCGTTCCGTGCCCCACCCTATGATGAAAGGGCTGGAATAGTGGCCTAGACCTTCGATCTGACCGCATAGACCTTGGATCTGCGCCCCGCGCAGCTTTTGAGGCCGCAATGCTTGTTGGAATGGAACCAGACCTGGGTGGGGGCCCTGAGCCGTTGGAGCCGTTGGTTGCGCCGGCGGCCAGCTATGTCTCAACTGAGTTGCAACATTGTTGAACCAACGCCCCCCCAAAAGTTGGCGACCGCGGACCGCACGCCGCAGGTGCTTTTCCCTGCGATCCAGACCTCACAGAACATGTTGCGCTGTAGCCTCACGTGTGAGAGCCCAGAGCGTGCCCTCTCGTTTGTTTTCTGGGCGTGTCGTTTTCTTCGGTCATTGGGGGCGAGTTGTTGGGAGGTTGAAATAAAGGTTTTTGGGGGGACTGGAGGTTGTTGGGGAAGAGAACGTGCTTTTTGCAGATCCATTGGACGATTTTCGCATATTGTTGTTCATTGTTTTTCAAAATTAAGATTGATGAATGGTCAGAATAGGCATTCTGCTGGGCCCTAGGCTCCCGCAGATGTGCTGGCAGGGGCTGGTGATTCATTTGCATTTGATTGGAGGGGTCAAGATGGAGTATCGAGATCGCAGTTGATATTTGCCACAATCTACTAATCGTCTTCTATAATCTTATAATAATATAATATATAATATACCTTTAATATGTGTTAGTCGTCAGAATGCTTAGAGATAGTCACATCATTGAAACGCATGCTTTGGAGTTGGAGTCTATACCGTATATACCGTATATGTCTTTGGAATACACCAGTTGAGAATCCTCCAGCGTTTCAGCATCTCGCACTCAGGGAGCGTGAATTGGACTATCCGCGACACCTCACGTTCCTCTTTGCCTCTGCAGTAGATGCTGGGAACTCAGGTGGTGCATGGTGAGTGTGCCATGGGTGTAGGTTCTCAAACATGTTTCTGCGTTTTGCTGAACTAGACAGCTTGGGTGGAAGCTAAAGACATGCATCTTTGGGAGCTGTCCAGTAAACTTTAGTCCTTTTCACCAGGCTTCTTCGTATTTACGTGTCCACCAGGCAACTGAGACGTGATCACCGTGCTGATGGGGTCAACCAGCGAAAGACCCGTCGGGTGTTGACCCGAAGATGGAGACGACATCGGGTTGCGCATTGGGTTGCGCGATCGCATCGGATGTCTAGACAGTCTATATGTTCACTGTACATGGTGGTTGTAGTTCAAAACCCGGAGCCCCAAATCAGGGTAGGTTGATGTAGGTTGACCTCCATTCTGTTCATTCCCGGTGGTCCAGAATTTTCCCGGTGGCTGACCCACAGTGGTCAATCTTCTAGCACCCTCCGTCTCCGTCTCGAGGGTTAAGCATTTCTTCGAGGTCTCAACCGGTGGGAGGGTGCTGGTGACCGATCTCGCTCGCATCGGTGTCGGGCGATCTCCAGATCCGCGTCCCGGTGATCCCTCGCGAGGCGAGAAGCGAGAACACCCGGGCCGGGTGTGGGTGGATGATGTAAGGTTAACTGCCACATCAAACGTCGAAGCTTTCTGGGGTTTCTTGGATTCCCCACTGATCGAATGGGTGAGTGACGAACGGGCTCTCTTCCACCCAAAACAGACGGCGAGTCAGACGGCGAGCGGTTGCAAGCGGTTGCCTTATGTGAGACCCGTGAGATGCCAGGAGCTTGTGGCCTTGTCTAGACGGTTCTCCCAAAGGTTTCCTTTGGGTCTCATTTTCAAGCATTTTTCCACGGGGCACCAGCTCAATCCGGGTAAGCATATCCATCACATGGTACTGTCCTTTTAAACGTTTGAGGGGAGTGAGCCGGCTTCAGATGAGAACCAAGCCTTCAGCTGTTCATTTTAGCAGTGTTGACTTCACCCTGTCTACAGCACGTAGTGTAGCCTCGAGATAAATGTCACAAGTCAGTACATGTATTACATTTGGGGCAAAAAAAGAGGCTGGCAACAGGCCGCTTTTGGAAGCGTGTGGTCAACACTTGGTAGTATTTGATGCCAAGGCTGGAACTGGATAAAGGTGCCACTGGGTTCAATTCCTTTAGATTGGTAAACAAACTCGGTATGTGTCCTTTTGCAAGAGGGCAAGAACAATGACCGACTGCAGTACTGTTCTACATGTTCCAAGTATCCGTACGTTCCGTTTTCCTTCTCGCATCGGAGGCGCGGCCACGGTGCGTGAACCGCGGTGAACAGCTGCAGGTCGGTCGGTCGAAGTGGTGCGAAGCGGAGCAGGGAAGAAGCATGTCCCACAGCTGGTACCAGCTTCTTCAGTTTGAGACCTTTTTGGAGTCCCCAGTCGTGACCTGTTAGAGGCCTGTTCGTGACCGAACCAACCAGGATATCAAAAGGTCACTTTGAAGAACCAGGATCATCACAGAAACAATAAGCTACTAGGAACAAGTGCATCGCTACTAGTAACAAGTGCCTTACTAGTAGTAACAAGAAGCTACTCTTTGGGGTGGTTCTGCGGTTGAGACTCTTCGCTGCTGGTGGGGACCGAGCACCAGGAGCTGAATGAAAGCAATGAGAGTCTCTCAGACTCTGAGAATCCACCCTTGTGCATCAAGGAGGTGGGGCTTGAGTATCTTGAGTCAGTCAGCTTTTGTTGTCGGCTTGTCGCGTCCACAACAGGTGTTTAAACAAGTACATATTGTGTTCTTTTGTTTACAGTTCTAAATACAATTAGTTATATATGTTCCCGCCCTCGCTGATTTGATTCGCCAGTAATTAGGGTGCTGGTGGTTTCGGTTTTTGTCACGATCGTTTTGATCATCTTTTTTGCTGCCCATATGTGATTTAGCAACATCACAGAGGCTGTATGTTTGTGATTCCACCCCCGAAATCCTCACATTTCGAGACAGCGAGCAGCGGCTCGAGCTGCTTGCACGATGTGCGAACGGCTCCGAATCAGGAGGAACCTTGCAGTGAGAAACAGCTGGTGGATGAGATGGTTGATGGACTGGGGATCCATTACAACAGCAACGTAACTGGTCGGCACTTTTTCAACTTGGGCTTCCTGCTCGGGCCTGGCGGGACTTGGTGGCCTAGGCCGATCTCGCTCTCGTCTCGTTTTGTCGCCGGGCAGTCTGAGTTGATTCGCCTTTGGGAAGGCCTTGTATACATCCTTGTACCATGGTACGTTCGCTGGTGTGGATTGTTTTGCTGGGTTATGTGAGTTGTATCCCATGGCAGTTGGTAATTATACATCTTAACATCATGTCTTGACAAATACCCGGGTCTCTTTAACAATCATGATGATTCTATCCACGGCCAGTCGATGGAAACCTAGCAAGTTGTATACACTCTAATGCCTCTAAGTCCACCATTAATATATTATGGATCTCCAAAAAAAACAACACCTTTTGTGACACAGCAAAACAACGTGAATCAGAGACCGAGGTAGATATGCTTTCGAGCATCAATCCCAGCTTGGTTCACGTGAACGGTGGAGCTGAACTTGCCATCTATGGCGACTTCCCTGGAGAAAATCTCACGTGGCCTGGCTATCCGAAAAACAAAGAACATATTATTCAGGGTGACATGAATCATTAGGATGTAGCTCAAAGAAATCGACACTGGGAGCGTTTGACTTTTGTTCTGTACTAACCAGAGTCTGTCGAACCACTTTCCGTTTATACCAACACCGGGATGAACACATGGAACAACTCTGGCACCGCGGTAGCAAATTTTGACCGCTTCGATATGCATGTGAATTGTGCATTGCCTGCATTATCTCTATCCGCCTCTTTTGTTGATCTTTTTTTGGCATCAAACAGCGTTTCAGAAGTTGTGGAAGAAGTTGTAGTTGGACTCTTCCAAGGCCAAGAACTGACTGATTTGTTTTTTCGATTGTTTCTTCGATGCGGTGAAAGGCACATGTTTGGATTGCAAACACTGAGGGAGTAGCTTGAGAAGTTACAGGGCAGCTGTTTGGGAGAAGATTGTCGGAATGGAGAAGTCGGCTTAGTAGTAAGGCCAGGAGCGCCCCTATAGTAGCGTCCTTGCTCCTATAGTAGCGATGCCAGGAGTCCCTATGACGTTTCATGGGAGGGCATTTGCCAAGAGGGTCCCGAAACTTTGAAACTTTCCACCTTGTCACATTCGAAACACCCAACTGTTCTTCTTGTGGTTCCTCCTTTGTGTGCGGGTCAAAGTAGCACAGCTCCCGAACTACATGGGCCAAATGACGAACGTGTGCAAAAGCACACGGCTCATTTTTTCTAGTTTGGGACATGCTGGCTTCCTTGGCATCTTATCCTTGCCCCACCACCACACACACAACCGCGTTTCCAAACACCCTGCTGTGCAAAAACACATTGGCAACATCAGGCAACTGAGAGCCTCAGAGTCTTCTGCAAATACGTCCCTCCCTGTCCTCAGTTGGTCACTGGTTAGGGTTTCAAACCCCCCAAAACGAGACTCATCCATCTCGAACCTCCACCCACAGCCCCTTTCCAGACCATTGATGCATCCAATCCACCAGGTGTCTCACATCTCTTCACGTCTCTCGTGTCTCTGCCGAATTGGCAAAATCCATTTCCAGCAGAGGTTTTTTCAGGACCAGTACCCCAGATGGACCGGGTCCTACCTGTCAGGTGCGGCTTCGAGGGCGTGACCTACGTAGACGTGGCACGGCGCGTCTCGCCCTTGGAGCTCCGGTGCATGGCGCCGCGACGCACGGTGGGCTTCGGGCGGGTCTACTTGATGCATGAGGATGCCTTTGGGCAGCTGACCGTGAGGCGGGGGAGAATTCGACCGGAAGGCGGTCGTGATTGGAGTTATGTTTGTTGGCTAAAGAGAAAGACACTGTGATTGTTTTGTTGGGGAGCATGTTTGGATCAATACGACCGAGATGGGTGGATTGTTGGAAGATCAGTGTGAAAGACTTGGAAAAGGACACTGATTAAGTGACTTAGGAACATCATTCAGATGATCTCTTCAGTTCGATCCCAAGATGCTTACCATGACATAGGTTGCTTCTGTCGTTTTCTCCATCGATGCATCCCCAAAGATCCATCCGAAAGCGAGGCACGAGGGCAAGCTCACCTTGGACGCTCGGAGGGCACCGACGTGATGTGTTTTTTCCAAACGGCGAGGAGGAAGGCTCGCCGGGCTTGTAGGGGGAACGTCAACTACATAGACAGATCGATACATATTTAGTATCATATTGGTATGTTGATGTTGTTCTTTTCTTTTGTCCAAAGTGGAACATTGTATGAACAGGGCATGAACATGGCCCGCACGTCCTGGTCTGACTCGATGGGTCTTGGCCCAAACTTTGCAGTTTAGGTGAAACAACCAGCACCTAAAAAAGACAACAACAACAACAACAACAAACAATTGATATGCACATGTTGATGAAATCAACACATCTACTTCGCAACAACCCAAACCCGAAACGGGCCGTGCTCGTCTCGTCCTGGCGGTGCCGAGGAATACGTGGAGCCACCGGAACTCTTCGAAGTGCATCCCCAGGAGGCGATGGACGGAGTCGGACTCGGACCAGCCGCCCTGGTGTTGGAAAAGCAAAGAGTCTGACTGGTGCAATGCGAGTCGCAGGGAATGAGGGAATGGATTGGTGGCTGGATTCCAATAGAATCTCTATTCCCTTATTCCCTACGAGTCGCACCAGTCAGTAGTGGGTATCCCCTTCAGTTTGTCCCATTACCTGCATCAGTTTCTAAAGAAACCAATCACTCTATTTATGAACAAGGCCCGCAACCTATTGCAACCTAGCCATCATCATCCACTGCTAGAGGGAATAAGATAGATCCAAGGTATCCCAAACACTCCATATATACTAATTATATACGTTGGGGTAGTTGAAAAGGTCTCAACTTTCAATGTAGGTACATGCCATACATACATGGAGTGTTTGGGTATGTTAGAACCCTGAGCGACCCCTGTTTTGGAGCCCAAACATGTTATGTGTCCCTGAAGCCAGAGGTCAATTGGGTCTTGCTTGATCTCAGCCAGCTATGGAAGCTGACTTCTGGGGAAGGACTATGAAGACGATCTTCCTCTAGAGATCTCGGTGGGTTTCCGCTTCCAGGAGGAAGTCTCGATCGGAGGACGTCCTCTCTATTTTCGTCAGAGATGGTTCAACTGTGGGGACGAGGTGTTGGAATTCAGGCATTGGATCATCCCACACGATATCAGCTATTGTGCTGAAGTAAGGGATGGAAATGAATCTTCTCCACTGGATTCTAGTGAACAAGATGCATCAACAACAGTTAACGTTGATGTATCATGTCCACCAAGAGTATGACCCTGCTCAGGTCGACCAGACTGGTCGACCTGTTCCACTCAGACTCCCCACCTGCCCACCGATGTGGCTGAAGGTGCTGGACGCTTCGACCACTCTCCGTGTTTGGGGCAGCTCCTTCCGTTCCCTGCCCGAACTACGCTGCGGCTTTGCCAGCCGCCAGAAGCGCCAGAGTTTCCTCACGCACCATGGCGAGTCCGTCGACGGACGTGATGGGAGAGATGGACAGGAGTTTGAACCTAGTAGCACGAAGCTGGTAACAAGGGGCATCGCTACAAACGGAGCAAGGACGCTACGCAGGTAGCTCAGTCCTTTCGATTCCTTTCAAACATGTTGTGACCCTTCTTTCTTTTCGGTTCTTTTCTATATGGAGATGTGGGGAGGCACTTCCTAGACCTGCGCTCCAAGCCTGGACCCTCCCAGGTAGGTCGAGTCAGTAGATTTCCGGATACAATACATGACACGTGCGGGCACGTCAGTCGGTGCGTCCGTGTCAAGGTACCTCACGATTCATTGCAGAATGTCTCGTTTAGTTGAACTGGTGTTCATGATGTTCTTAGTCTACAAACTACAGCTTCTCAAAGTTATTGATGTGATGGGTACGGTATGTGCAGAATAGGAATGACAATCGTTTGACTCTCTCCCCCTATTTTGGAGTCGTTCCATCCCCAGTCATGATGTACGAAAAACTGTAGCATGTGCTGTGTGTGTGAACTTTTTCTTAACTATTATGTTATTCACCAGTGTCAGTCCGTTGCAATGAGATGCACCGAACTTCTATCATATTGACAACGATCCAAAACGTGTCACGTGAAAGAGCATGATAAGAACCAGCGACTCTTGCCGTGCAACGTCACTGCCTACAAGGACCATCCCCACGGGTCATCAATTCTTCCTTCCCAGCCCGCTATGGACTACTATGGACTGGACCTTAAAAAAGGATACCCGTAAGTGGACTAAAAGATCATCTTCCCATGGCTCCAAGGCTCCAAAGTACAGAAGGTGTTTGGGGGGGGGGCAAGAGGGACCAGTCATGCCTTCTTTTCGGAGGTACCGATTGGGTACCGTACCTGTGATCCAGGCATCGGATCCCCACTTGGACCTGGATGGGTCGGGTACGCTGCAGCACCACCTTGGCCGAACGCGCCCTGCGCAGCTTCGTGATGCTGCTCAGACCGCGTGCACGGGGCGAAGGAGGCCAGAGGGAATTCTTCAAAAGAGCTTGGTCTTCACAAGATATCCCGAAGATTCATGAAGATTCCAGGTATAGCAATTGTTCCGTTCCGATAGTCGTTCGGAGGTGGTTGATCATATAATCTGTAGGCACTTCTATCCAGAGAATGGTCGAACTGAGGGCCAAAGGACATGCGATTTTGATGGTCATGGACCCTTTGGGCTACAGTCAGTACTCTATTCGTTGAGATCCAAAAGCTATGCCCTGAAATTCAAAGGCTATAAAAACAATGGTCATTAAAGGGACCTGAAAGGAACTACCTTTAGTTCATTGGGGCAACATATAGTCTTTCTTTCGACATCATTCCACCTTTTTCGGCTATGAGGGTCAATCATTCGACAGCAAATCCGACTCGGGTCCAGTCTCGTTCCAACCTCGTTGGGATGAGGTACCTTCAATCTTTTTCGTGCCCACGGACGGAGCTGAAAGGCTCAGCAAAGGTCACAGGTGTGTCCCTGCCCTGGGGCTTATTACTCACTATAGTGGTTTAGTGGGGGCAAAGAAACACACACCAGTTCTTCTTTTCCATTGGATTGGCGATTGGCTTCGTGTCGCATCAGGTTGGAACATGACGACTGTCCTCTTTGAGGGAAGCGGTTCTTTTTCAGGAAACAGCGTTCACTGGGACATCTGCAACCTTGAACAGTGGCTGTTGTACCTTTAGAGGTCGCCCCATGATCGCTGAGGCATGGAGGCCATCGCGAGTAAGTAGGTTGGAGGGAGGCCATCGGCCATCGCGAAAGTGGCCCATACCGTATACTCTTCTTTTGATGAAGTGATTGGGGATGTCTTCCCAGTGCCACGGTGAAAACTCAGGTGACCAGTGGGGTCTCACCAGGTTCGGGGGCGCGCGACCTCGGCATCTCAGGTTTTCGGCCAAGCCACTGGGTATCGGCATGGATCCCTTTATGTGCGTCTCCTACATGATGGATGGCACTTGGGTGGCTTGGTTGGGAGTCCCACCAACATCCATCGATGAAACAAACTTAAAGGTGTATATATATATATATATTGAAGTATATATATAATATATATTGAATGTTTTTTGGTTCTGGCGGCAATTTCTTCCGAAAAAGGAACAGCCTTGGCGCAGGGGTCTTTCTGCGTCGCCAGTTCCGACGGCCTGGGTCCCGATTTCGCGAAATGCTCTTCACATCTCTTGACCACCAGCTATAGTGGAGGCTGCATGGAAAGCACAGTTGTTTCTTTAATGGTGAGAACATGTCGAACCTACATGTTGGCCAAGTGTCTTTTCTTCGCATTGCAACTTGATTGCTTTGAGTCCACACCGGCGAGTACGGTACTCGTCCCAAAGCACTCGTCCGTTTTCTGGAACGTGCAGGCGATGTTCGGGTTCCACCCGCAGGTCTGAGTCATGTCATTCAAAGAAGGAGCATGAAAGCAACATGTGTTCGACTCCCTGAGGCATATCAGACGTTTTTTATAGTAGTAACAAGTGCCACGCTACTAGTAACAGGTGCCTTACTAGTAGTAACAAGAAGCTATTAGGAACAAGTGCCAATCTAATTTAATTCCAATTTAACTTATGTGTGTTCGACTCCCTGAGGCATATCAGACGCTTTTTAACTCCTTTTTCGGACGAGTCATCACCTGATTACAAACAGGTCAAGTAGTGAAGTGAAAAGGCTTGGGGCAATTCTAAACCCCACTGGACAGAAGGCATCATAAAAGGATTCATCAATCCACCAAAAGAACCTGTCAGCCACCAGCAAAAAAGACAGGTTCACACCAGATCTCACATGTTCTTGAGCCATGTTTGCGGGTGCCGAAAACCACACTCAGGTCTATCACCTCATCGATGATTTTGGCACCGTCGAGGCGGTGCCCTTTGCCCCTCGGGTGGAGGACTCCTTAGTGGCGGAGTTCGAGGAGGGCGAAGCTCGTAGCCTTCAGGGCCACATGAGGATCTTTGCGGGCACACACTTGGGCTATGACAGGCACGGGTTGTACACACAGAGGAGGTTTTTCATTAAGTTGGTTGGATCTTTCGCTAAAAGTGTGTATATACCCTAGAAGTTGAACCACCATGGTCTTAATAGCCTTTACCGAACAACCATTGTTTCACTAGGGGTTTTACACTACAAAACCTGATCAACCATGTTAAAATGGTCTTTGACTTCCAGGGTACTAAACGTACTAAAGACATCATTATACATCATATTATACAGTTTTGTGTTATATTTACATCTCCAGTCTATGTTTTGTGGTTGGAGGTGTTGTCCTTTTGACTTGAAGCTCCAAGCTTTGTGCCGTTCAGAAGGGCTGTGCCATTCAGCTCCAATCTTGCAGGGGTGATTTGCAGTTCTTGAAAGATGTGGGGAACTTGACGGAATGGCTGGAAGACCGCGCCATGAACTTGCCGCCGACCACGCGGCAGGCACGAGATGGCATGAGGACAGAACAATTCACGGATGGCGTCCATTGCGGTGTCACGATCCAAAACGTGGCCATCAAATACACGACACCCAGGAAAGAATGGATCAGCTGCAGCTGGGTCCCCTTGTTGGGGGATTGGTTTCCCAATGTTTCCCACTATATGTTTCCCAGATTCTGAACAACCATGATTTCAGGGTTCGACTCGGATAGTCGCATACACAACACCGGATATGACACACTGGCTAGTCCAAGATTGGTCAGTCCTGAACATGCAGAACGGCGAGGATTGCTCATTTCGCACCCATATGGGTCAGTGCAAAAAAGAGCTTGTTACAAGACGAGAAGCTTGTCAACAGCAATCATTGTGACATTGTGACTTGAATGGCCACGATCTTGTTTCAGAAAAACAGAGAAACAATAAACAAATCGAAAACAAGACAGAGCCCCCGCCCCCGAACAGACACGCATGCCAGGGGGGGCCTCCGTTCACCCTTTCCGATGGCCATTCGCACGGCCAGGCGACCACGGCTCGCACCTCGACGCAAGCGCCCACGCTGTCGACCACGAGCACGACCCGGACGATGACCTCCACGACAGTGACCATCACAACGACCACTGTGAGCACCTCTAGTGGCCTGGTTTACTTTCGTGGTCCACATCTGAGAAAGATGACCATTTATATAGACCGTTTATTGACAAAACACCATGTGTTGGGCTCCAAATCAAGGATCAATCAGGGGTTTCATATATGGTATACGGTGTGCGTGTATATCATATACTAAATCAGGTTCTTCTTGGTACGGTGTGCCTGTAGATCATATAGCTTACCCTATAGCTTACCCTATAGCTTACACCGATATGGGGACACCGAACGATGAGATACCGATTCCCCACGACATTGTACTCGATCTCCTATCGATGGTGTTTGAGCCGCCTGGGCCGGTAAGGAAGACCATGCAATCCTCATATCAAATAGGTGGTGAGCTCCAATTCCATGACCGTTTCAGGCAGTGTATTTGTGTTTTGAGAACTGCAGAACTGCTTCGGCATGGGACCTCCTTCAAGTTTGGACATGGAGGTCTCTATAGAGCCTTTACAGTGAAACCATCTTTGGGGGATTGTGCCATCTACTCTCCTTCCAGTAGATTGTTTGACATCAGACTTAGTTGGTTCCATTTGGTACCAAGATGCGCCTTTAACGGGGTGTTCCCTGCTTTCCTGGCCTTGGACAGCTTCACTGCAAAATATTGTAAGGTGCGTTCCTTCCATGCATTCGTCAGTGAATTGTGAATGATGGTGAACCTGGGTGAATTATGAATGATGGTGAACCTGCCCAGTCATGCCCAGCCCTGCGCGCCTCGCTGCAGAAACCTGAGAAGTGTCGTCAGGAGTCCCAAAATGTATGACCCCTCCACTATATAACTAATTTGTTCTCAATTGTCTTTGTTATCCGACGATTTATCGACAATCTTAAGTCGGATAAAAAGAATAGATCTAAAATAAGTATAATTTGCATTTTCCCGGTGTACCTTGAATCAAGCTAGCCAACTGAATTAATCGACCCTTCCTCCAGACACCAACCCCCACTGAATTAATTGGTGTTGCCTGGTTTTGAGTGTGATGGCTGCTTTCCTGCTTGGTTTGCATGCGGTGGCCACTTTCCTGCCTGGTTTTTTAGTGTGGTGGCTACTTCCTGCCTGGCTTTCAGTGTGGTTGCTACTTTCCTGCCTGGTTCTTGTGGGGCTGGTGACGCATCCCCCCCTGCACTTTCCCAGGCCTATGCAGGCCAAATAAATTAACCGACCCCTCCTCCAGAGGCCAACACTGTAGCACCCCCTGAATTAATTTTAGCTGCCTGGTTTTATTGCCTGGTTTTTGAGCGCTGCTCACGTATTACATGGGCGTGGCTGTGGATGGGGGATTTGCCACCTGGGGAGCGGAAATTTATTGAGTGGTTTGTGATGTGTTGGTGAGTTAGGGAGGGTGGGGGGCCCTAAGCAATATATATATATATATAGAAAATTAATTGAGGGACCGCCTCAATAATTTTGGAAAATCAGGTATGTGCCCCCCTCGGGTAACTTAATAAAGGGATCAACATGTTCATCCACCCCTCCCCCCAGATCCTGTAGGGCTGGATTAAAACATGTTTCAGCTATTTCTTTCTTGTGAAGCTGAGTTCAGCTTCTTCCAGTGAGGTTCTACTCTTCCTGTCGTTTCAAGCCAACCATGGTACAATGAGACCGAGAAGCCTGGTACCAAGCGGCCGTGGGGCTCCTGTGGGCCGGATTCGTGCGAAAAAGGAAGAGGGGACAGTCCAGAGAATCCTAACCCTAGGGATCCAGTCGTACCTTCTCAGAATGTACTTGGACCCTCCTGGCACCTATTAACAGTGCCTCCAATGGCCTTCTCAGATTCCTAGGGTCCTTTTTGGAGTAAATCTATACTTAATTGGAGATGTTTGTTTGTGATTTCGGGCGCAGATCCAAACCGGAACATAGATGGAGGAGAGTTTTAGGAGCAGCGGAAGTGACAGCGGAGAAGCCCGGTCGATGGAGTCGGAGTCTCCTCCTCGCCGAATCCTTGCCCAGGAACGAGAGCTTCGATGAGGATTGGAATTTGTCCTTCCAGAATAGAAGTCCACAGAATCAGACGGAGCTCTCCGATGTAGAGAATGAGACGGAGGAGACCACCACTTCCACTGAGGAAGACATCTCTGATTATTCCGATGCGAATGAGTCCAATGAAACGGAGCTCTCCGATGCAAATGAGTCCAATGAAACAACCACCAGTACCACAGTGACCACATCCAGCGTGACCAGTACCAGCACCACTAGCACTAGTTCCAGCTCAACAAGCACTACCTCCAGCACAACAAGCAGTACTAGCACCATCAGCACTACAAGCACCACGTCCAGCACCTCCACCAGTTCCAGTAGCACAACGTCCAGCAGCTCCACATCCAGCTCATCAACCAGCACTACTACCAGCACCAGCTCCACGTCCAGTTCATCCAGCAGTTCTTCTACGACATCAAGCACCTCATCCAGCACTTCTTCTAGCAGCTCCAGTTCTACCACCAGTTCCACTAGCAGTTTCCTCATGGAGAATTTCACGGTTTCAAGCTTGCAAAGATGCGAGATGTGTGGTTTGGATGCTCCAGGAATGACAACCAGGGATTGTCTATTTATATAGTGGGGCTTGTCAGATGTTGTTCACTCAAGGATCTGAATTCCCCCCCGAATTGCAATCATTTAGAGGTCGTGTAAATTCATGTGTTTTTTTCAGTGGCTTTTGGAGACATTTTTCAATGCTCCACATCCATGCCATGGCAAGAAATGTGGTTCATCGTGTTTCCGGTCTTTCCATTTTTGTTCCTGTGCCATCGCACCACCTGACGGACACATGGACAACCTTGGCGCCACGGGAAGATGGAACTTGACCATCGCTAGTCTCATCGTGTGGGGAGACTGCATCTTAACATCCTCAATCTATTAAAGTCTATACATGAAATTCATGTTTTGCTTAGGGGACTTCCACTTCTGGACCCCACTCTCCCCCCAAGGCAAGCACACCCACCAAAACACTCCCACCGCCCGACCACCTAATTCACCGCGCCCAGGCCAATGCTTCCGGCAGCGACGCCAACGAGTCGCTGCCGCCCATCGTGGAGGTTTGGATCGCCGGTGGCGACTTCTTCGTGACTCGCGAGGTGCGACGGGTGTGGCGAGACGAGCCGAACGAGTTCGGGTCAACCGACCGATGGTGAAGGTGTGTGTGTGTGTGTGCGTGTGAAATGGTGGAAGGAGGTGAAAGTGATGTAGAGATGATATGCATGATGTGGATTGTTCAGGTGACAGCTTGTTGAAGCCATAACTAATATGATGCGGACGCCCCAATCTATCAAAATCCATATTCCAGGCGCGTCGGGACTTTCGTCGTTCGTCTTCCAAATGCGTTCGTGTCGTAGGTATTTGGAATCGGGTCAGCGACGGGAACCCACGACTGAGAGAGGTTCGCTCTCCGCGAATGCCGCCGGCACTTTGCCCAACGAAATACTGGAATGTTTGACGTGATAAATACCCTGCAGGACACCCTAACAGGATCTAACAGAATCTATAAATGTAACCCATCATGGCCCCTTATAGAGGTTAAGGGGTGTCCATTAACCACTGATAGTGGGTCCTGGATGATCCTTGTGTGTTGCTTGGTGCTCATTCATTCCATCGGTTTTGGATGATGGGACGCGTGGCCACAACGACAGTATGTTTTTGTTGTTTAGTGCAAGGCCTTTAGAAGAACTATCAGCAGCTGCCTGCCAGGGGTGGAGACCACTCAAGTTCCAAGTGCATCCAAAATCCCGACAACGTTCCCGCCGGGGTAGTTTTGGTTCTTTTTTCGCTGCGTTTTTTCGGGATCACTCCACCGTGCGGCAACAGGTGGGGTGGGACACCAGCTTCGTGTCCACCTTGGCAGAGTTCCACTCGACACATTTGATTTTGTGCCCCACTCCCGATAGCTACTCCTGGAAGCGCTTGGGGGATGGTGCTGTGAAGCTCCATGTCTCCTTGAATGGTCAGGACATGGGATGAATGGCATGCGGATGTGACAGTCTTGTGAAAAAAGAAGAAAGTATATAAGAACTTTCTCGTCGCAAAATGCATGTTTCTCGAGAAGGCAAGTAACAGCAGCATATAGTTGAGACTCCTCTCTCAATTCCAAACTCGTTACAAAACAACAACTGAACACCATCCAAGTGGCAACTACCGCACAACTCTTCATTGCCTACCAGTCCATTTTCCTTTTTGTTACCCCTAAGCATACTCCCTGTAACTCTTGCGTTCTTTCGATCCCTCCATCTCACTTTGGAATCCGCGCCAGGAGTGGTCTGAGCCCTTGGACCTCACCTTCCGCTTCCAACCGACCTTGCCGCCTCCCCTTGCCCCGCCCCCCGACGCCCGGCGCGGCGACGCGGCGGCGGCGGCCTCCGGCGTCAGCGGCGCGGCGGCGGCGGAGGGGATGCCGGAGCTCCGGTTCCGGCTGGCGCAAGTGACGCCGGTGATGGGGCCAACGTCTGGAGGACGGGTCGGGAGAGATGGGGAGGTCGGCAGGATGGGGGGGTAGAGTGGAGAAGGGGGCTTTAAGTCAATTAAAGGCTTTTGGGATGCGGACCTATCGCAAATACGATCAAACTTGCCGACCGAGGGAGGAGGTGATGGGGGTGTGGGAGCAGGGGTTTCTCCCATCACCTTCGGTGGCGACCCATCACCACGCTGGCAGGAACCAATCTGTCTGTGACGATCACCTCATGGCCGCGCTTGCTGGCAGACTTTCACTTCGACTGCCTCATTGGACCCCGCCGGGTCCCTGCCAAGCTCATCGAGGCAGAGTGGAGTGGAGCCTGTTGTCAGCTGGTCAGCTGGTAGAGCGCCAGGCCTGTTGATCCCGGTCAATCCATTGGCCATATTCGAAAGACCAAAAGCCTGCTGTTGGTTCTTCAATTGTACCTAGTAACTAGTAGGATCTACTAGGATTCTGGACAAGGTCCTTGCTGAAGAGACCTAAAAGTGGCCTGACACAGGAGAAAGTAGACGAGAGATGACGAGAGATATGTGGAAGAAAGTACACCTCAAAACCCACTTGACCACATCATTGGCCACCCATCTTGCACACCTGCGCAGAAGTTGCTTATTAGTAAGCGCTGAGCAGTATTTCTGGCCGTCAATGGAGGATGTCTCTCACAGAAGACGTGAACGGCTTTCTCCCAAGACACTCGGCCACAGGTACTGCCAGACTATCGTAGCTACACCTTGGGTTGTACTGTGCCTGCTGCGCTGGATATTCCAAGGTGCCATGAGACTTTTGTCTTTGGGCTCGGAGTCTCCAAATGTGCCCCAAAAGCTATCATTCTACTGTACCTTCTCTTTTGAGGCTATGCACCCCTGGCGCAAACGTGCACTGATAGAGACTCCAGGGACATTTGGGTCTTGTGGCCATGTTGTTGGGTGTTGGCGGGCAAGGCACAGCGGCGCATGTGATAGATGGATTCTAAAAAGGGTTCTCTGTAGAGCTTGCCGTGTCAGCAGACTTGTTGATCGACTCTCCCAGTTTGAGGATTTGATTCGCAGAGTTCTGGGAAACACACATCTTGAATCACATAGCAAGAAGATGTCCCAAGTGCTTTTGCCAGGTTGACCGTTGCAGGCTGCACCTGCAAAAAGTTGTGGTTTACACCAACTGGTCAAACTTGCGACCACTACTGTCGAAGCCTCGGGGCCTTTCCTGATGTTGTCGAACAGTGTGGAGTGTCGAGGCTTTGCAGGTCACATCTCAGGTGTTTTCTTCGGAGAGCGACAAGGTGCGGATCGCCCTGCCACGAGTCAACTAGCTCATCTATAGCTCTAGTTCTTTCGCGGGATGGGCATGGAAATCCACTGGAAATCCACTTACATGTCGAAGCTCTACAGGCATGTATTCAGGTATGTATGTGACTTATTGCCCTCCTAGTCCCGGCTGATACTCGTATCGAAGCGCACACAAAGACCCCACCACAGTCCTTCGCCAGTTCTTCATGGCAACATCTCAACTTCCGGATCTCCTGAGATTTTTGGCTGAAAAAAACTCAACAAAGCTGCACGGCACCAAACATCAAGCAACCAATCAACATCAACTGTTTGCCTCTCACGACATCGTGGTGTTTCGCTTCGTTGTCAAGCGCATGGAACTCCGCCATTCCACGTGCCGAACTCCGCCCTTCCGCCGTCTCCGTGGGACGCGGAAACCTCCACGTGCCTCTTTGCCGAACTCCGCCCAGGTTGCAACCCGGAGGGCGACGCTCCAAGGCGGCCATGGCGGTGGGTTTTCGGTCAAGGATGGTCCGATGAATCATCCAGTGACTCCAGAAGACACTGAAAAAGATCCAAACATGTGTGCTGTGCTGGATTTTCTTTGGCATGGGATGTGCATTGGTGTGGCCATACACCAGCGAAAGAGAAGGAGTCGTTTCAGTGGCACAAATGTTTACTCATTGGTTTTGAGACGTTGGGAGTCTAACGGAGTCTAAGGTGTCCTTCCATTTGTGTGTTGTTTGGTGTTCTTTTGGTTTGGTCTGGTCCTTTTGGGTTTGGTTGTGTGTTTGTGATTTGTGTTCAGAAAACGAAGGCAAGGCAGTTCGTTTCTTGCACCAAGAAGTCAAGATGAATTCCCCACCCGGCTTGTCAGCGCAACTGCTGTTGCACGCTGAAGTGTGTGTTTCTCGGCTTGGTCATCCAGAACATTTCTGGGTTGGACAGAAGATGACACTAACCTGGGTGCACTCAGCTGTACACTGTACACCTTCTTGACGGCCTTGGCTCAAAGAAAAAGATACACTCACAAGTGGGCACCAAATCACATCAGGCGGCCGATCCACTTTCTTTCGTCGATGCTAACGACGCAGCGTCTGATTCTGCTTTCTGCGTTGCGGCTGGCGGCCGCAAGTCCAAGTCCAGTCTGGGAGATCCTCCGCGCGCGCTGCGAGGCCGCGGCCGGCGGAGGGGTGGATGTATGCGGGGTGTGTGTGTGAGATGTGCAGTACTAAGCACGCAACATGCTAGGGATTTCTTGGGTATGACATTGTGGGAAATCCACCGGAAAGGTGCAAGATTCAAGTGCGCAACTGGGACACGCAGGGTTTCTGAAGTTCAGCATAGTCCAACTTGAGCAGATGTAATTGTATTACCTAGATCTTCCAACTATATGCAACATGTTTGCCTTTTCATGCCTTTAGGTTTTTACATGAAAAGGCATAAAGTGTTGCATAGTTGGAAGATCTGCTTCGGGGGCGGTACAGAACATCCATCCAGCTCCAAAAAAAGCCGCTGTGGCTTGTGGACGGCTCACTTAGTTGATGCTGGAACCTCCCAGTCTTTATCCCCGGTGGAGCGTTGCTACCATGTTGCACTGAGGCAGGCTACCCCAACGTCACCCCAAACGTGTTAACGGTTCCGCAGCGTCGCCGGTTCCGCACGCAGCGACGCTGACCCGGGTCCATGCGCCTGAAGAGGCGGATGACGGGCAGGGCGGCTTCCAGTGTCGCTTGATCAGTGGAAGCGATCCTTTTGATGCGGAGGCTCGCTACCTAGAGACCTTGAACCAGACAGGTTGGTCGCGGCTGCATGTCCGTGGGACGCTTGGAGTGGAGAAGGATGAGAGAGCTCGTGGGCTGTAGCATCCATCTCCAACCCACTGGTACAAGAGAAGAACAGACGAACTCTACCAGGAGTTCCAGCACTCCAGGGGTCGTTTTGACCTTAAGTGAGTGGAATCTTCTGGGTACCCCTATCCTGGATTAGGCACCCAACTCCATGGAACCTGTATGTGGTCTTTATAGTTTCTCAGCTGCATCTGAAATGGGTTCATGTGGAGAGGGGGAGAGGAGCTGGGAGCTTCGAGTGCCGAGAACCGGGTTTGGTCAACTGGTGGCCTCCAACCTACTGTACATGCGTATACCAAGTCACCAAGAGCACACGACCCGACATGTTCCTCCTCCCGCGCAGTGTCACGGAGTCCTAGATTAGCTCCCATTGCGCCGCAGTGTCACGGATGGCTTTCTCGAACATGTTTGTTGCTCCAGCGGAAGGCTCAACACACTCGGCTGAACACTTCATCTACTTAAAGATCTACCCGTGAAACACCTTGGCGGTTGCCTTGGGTCCAACCTTGGGTCATCGATTAGATACGGTAAATTGTGTAACATGATTCATACATCTTCATTCACAAGTTCATTGGTTTTTCTTTGGATACATGTGGCCATTACTATAACATACTGTCTCTTGTTTGCACAGATCTATATATATATTATATAAATCATTTGCGCCAACTGAACCACCCAAAACTGCCTGCCCCCCACCGAGACGAGGATCTCCCGAGGACACCGAGACCCTTCCTCAGACGCGCTGCGTGTGGCCTATGCCGCTGGCTTCGTGGAAGGCGCTGTGACGGCGGAGAGGACGTGGCAGCACTGGGAGAACCTCTTCCGGCCACTTGGCTCATTCGTCGAGAAAAGAATGACAAATGCGGTTGGAGGAGTCGCTGATGTGATGTGGAAAATCTGGGTGAAAGATATGACCGTCAGTGCAGTGCTGGGCAGCTTGGCCCACAGGTCGGCGGAAGGTCGGCTGGATTGTCATCCTTTTGGATGGAAAGCAGATCAAAGCTGCATGAAGGTGGGAAGTCCATGTTCAGATCAAACTACACTCTCTTAGATATCTTAGAAGCCGGAACCACATTCTTTTGTGTGGGACTCCCATCAACCACTAGTGGTATGAGGGTGACCTGGTGCAAGGGGGAGACAAAGGAAGACAGCTGGCTAGCAATAGACTCAGCGAAGGTTTGAGCCAATGGTCAGATAGTCGCAGCAAGTGTTTTTGCTGGTCGACAATGAGTCCTCCCTTGGCAGCAAAGGTATAGCTACCAGAATGACTCCAACCCGGAGTACGTGAAAGCTAAGACCTTTCTCTTGTCCAACGATCAGTTTGTCAGAAGAAAGATCGCAACTTCAAAGGACGAGTACTGGACTCAAATGGCCCTGATTTGGGCACAACTGGATGGTTTGGTCGCTGGGAATGCTGCTACCTGTGGCAAGCACTGCTTGGACTTGATGAACTTCCTTTTCCTGCAAGCCGAACAGGAGATGACTTCGCGGTGAGTTTGACTGCTCCTGTTCAAGTGTGCGGCCTGACACACTATAGTATAGACGAGAATTGAGTAAGATGTTTGCCGGAGGTGTGCATGTGCAGAACAGCTCTCATTTGGCAAGAACTCTTGCCCTGGTTCCCCAAAGATGTGCCCACACACACATGTGCCCACATACATGTGCCTATCCACGTTTTCTATTTTTGCGAAAGGAACAATGAGACTTGTTGTTTTGACGTTCCTAATCGGTGGGAGTTTGGTGAAAAGATGAGACGCGATGAGTAAATTGTCAATATGATATTTCAGCAAAGGCAAGATCTTCCGTGTCTCTGGTGCTTCCTGCTTTGGTTCCAAAGCCAAGAGCTTGGAATATGCCTGCCCATATTCCAAGCTGGCTGTTGATTGGGGTGTTGATCCCTTCCATTCACTTTCCTGGAGAGGCTCAGTCAACTTATATACTGTAAATCAACTTCAAGTCCTGTGGATGTGCCAGTGTCCATCCATTTCACCCCCAAACGAGGCAGGCGAAAAGTCGATGGTGCACGGACCACCCCGCCGGGACGCGCATGGCAATGCTTCGCATCTCGGGTGGGCCGGCTAAGCTTAGGTTCTGGGGAGAGCAGCCAGAGGCTCCACATCAGCTTGCCTCATCGGAAAATGGCAGACCTTGGTCCAAGTACCAAATGGCAGGGTTTCTGTTCCTTCCAACTCCACGTCCACGTCCGGTTGGACTTCCAGAACGATGCCGCGGTGCGGTGCTGTTATTGCTCTGGCCACCAGGACGTGTGGGCCCTTCACGAACGACCCTCCACATGGACGGCCGCCAGCGCGGCGGAGTACACGCGCACGTCGACGCATTGCTCGGCAACCGGGACGTTGAATGGAGTATGGAGTTGAAGGATCTGAAAAGAACACCCAAGTTTGGGGGGCAAAGGGTTCATGAGAGGGTGCATGAGGTGAACATGTGTCTTTTTTGTTTTATCTTTGTGGCGAAAAGCAACAAACTATGACACAGTCTGACAGGGTTGGAGATGCGGCTTGCTTGTGATCCAGATGTTTCAGTCCAGAATTTGTTGCTGTGGGGGATGGATTTCCGGTGATGATGAAGGAATCATTGGACATCTGCCGGTGAGTTTGGATGGTGAATTCGAAATCATCGACTACAGTTCATGAGTACCATCCAAAATGTTAAGAGGATGATGCTTTGCTGCTGGCAGTTTGTAGAGCGTTTTGTTGGTGTTTGGTACAGGACATGTTTGTTGCCGTGCAAACTCAGTTTTTGCCTTTCAGACGTATGCAAGAAGCTTGTGATACCAGCGACAGAGTCAAGGTGATGACAATGACAGAACCCTAAGGACGACTTGCCCAATTTGGGGATAGATGCGCTGATAATGCGCTGGAAAATTGCCAACATATGTCCAACCATTGTCACCTTTTCACCTCTTGCTGACCTTTATCCATGGTCCGCGCTCAGCTCTCTCAGAGGCTTCGCTGAGAAGAACTCAAGGTGCTAGAGAAGTGAACACCCCAAAATGCCTTCGTCAAGAAAGTGACATCATCACTCTCCTTCAACCCATGAAGCTACATGGGAAGGCCGTCGCATGGCAACGCATGGCAACGTCGCAAGGCGATTGTCCGACTGGCGCCGAACAATAGTGACCTCTACATGGGCCACAACACTTGGATCGGCTACTACTCCATGTTGCGACTCCTAAAGGAGCAACGAACAAAGGTTTTGGCATGCTTGAGGTTATTGGGTGAACATGCAGGTAGGATTGTGCAAGGAGATATTGTCGCTAAGTTGGGAAGAAGCACGAGAAACGAAACAAAGAATGTTCTGACCAGGTGTTTATGCACTGAACAAGGCAATATCGTGCGGAGACCCCAGCAGAAACTTCATGTCAGAAATCATCGTGATGAAGATGCCAACTGCCCTGGAAGCAGCTATGATTTTGCAACATTGTTTTGTTTTTGTTGTCATTCATGTGTTGTTTACATTGTTGTACGTACATACTTCAAAGACCTCTAGAGCCTCTTGTTGATTAACTAAAAGGGCGCAGGAGTAAGACTTCCCACCCAAAGCGTGCACAGGAGTACGACTTGCCAGTGGGCGGCGCTGCAGACCGTGTAGTGCAGAGTGGCTTCTAGATCGCATCAGGGTCGAACC